GCCTTCACCTTTCTCCTTCTCCAGCGGCCTCTCACTCCCGTCTGGCCGGTCCCGCCTACCCCCAGCCAGGATGGGAAACCTCCGAGGGGAGGAGGGGAGGACAGTGGGTGGGGGGCGGTGCGCAGAGGTCGAGGCGGAGTGGGGTGGGGCGGTCCCGCTCTGCGGCAGTGGGCTGCAGCGCTTGTCCTCCGGCCCGACGCGGCCCCTCTGCCCTTCAGCTTTGCTTTTCCTCTGCTTCGCAAAGCGCGGTGCAAAGTAGCACAGAGAAGCCCCACTTCCTGGCTCTGCACAGGGTGGTAGAGGCGAGGGCTGGCCCGCCCGGGCCACTTCGCCGTGCGGTCGCAGCAAGCACCGCAGAGCTGCAGGAGGCGACCAGAGCAAGACCCCGCCCACTCCACCAGCGCCCCCAGCCAGGCCCGGCCTGAGGTTTTCCCTTGTGGGTCCCTGCCCCCGCCCGGCTCTTCCCTTCTCTCCCGGCTTGATTCGTTGGCTAAACTTCACATTCCCTGACTAGTCACCGAGAACTCGTATTCCGCCTTCTGCGTCTACACCCCAGGGGGCGGTGCCGTCACTCGCGACACGTTCGTGCCTAGTGGCGCGGGGACAGGCCGCAGGGTGGGGATTCCACTCCCGAGTGCTGGCCAGGAATTGGATTTAAGAGGCGGCCGCAAGTGAGCGCCCTCCACCCCAACCCACGCCCCTGCTGCCGCCGCCTGTGGTTTCCTTCCTGGGGACCGAGGACAGAGGGTCCTGAGCTGCCCCGGCACCTACGCAGGGGGCGCCCGCCGAACGCGCTACCCCAGGGACTAGCCAAGTACATTTCACCCGCCGCGGTTCAAGCGCGTTTCTCTTGTTATTGTTTTCAGGAGACTCGGATAACAAGTTACCCAGGGATTGTTGGAAGCCGTATTTATTAGACCATGCCGCGGCCTTTTCCGGCTAGCTAATATTGCATCCTTAGGTATTCAACTTTAAAAACAGGTGCCCTCACTGCGGGGTTGAAGGGACCACAGAGCTGTACCGAGACATCTCGTTTAGGTTTTGAGATGCTTCCCACTTTTATTTCCTGTTTGGGAGAAGTCTCTCGCTGGCGAGTTCCGCTGTCTTCCCACAGTCCTGTCAGCCGAGTAGCCTCTTCTCCAACCCAGCAGCTAAATCAGGAGTGTAGACTTAAGAACAGCAAAGGACTATAGTAATTGTCTTAAATGGAGTACACTCGGTTTACAGGTGAGGTGCAGAGAGGATGAACCTCTTGCCAGGTAATAACTAGGCTGTTCTGATCCGGGTTAGCGGCCGCTCCGTGGTCGCACATGCAAGACATGAAAAGGCTTCCTTCCCACAGGTTCTAAGAAGTGTTGATCAGGAGAGAAATGAGGAAAATAACAAATGGCTGCATGATTTAGGGACCGGGTGCGTATATTGATTTTTAAAGGCTCATCCATTAGAAAGCATGTAAATCTGTTTCTAATACTGGCCTTTGAGTTAAATAATTCCCCTCCAGCTGTTAAGTAAGCCATATCAGCACATCTGGATCGTGTTTTGGTCCAAAGCTTATTAGCTGACAGAGTTAAAGTGTTAGAAGGTTTCATTAAATAAGCTAAAGATAAAACCTACACAGACAATATTTGGATGAAAATAAAATTTTAAAACCGTCTGGCTTCTGATTTTAGGCTTCACTGAAAAATTTTCCACCTGATATATAAAGTTCAGACGTGTTAATATACTTGGCAAAAAATGTTCGGTGGGCACTTTCAAGACTTTTTGTGACAGTATAGATTGGTACAGCTTATTTGAAAAAAAATTGCAAATCCTATCACAAATGTAAATATTAGTACCTTTGGACTAAGTAATTGTACGTCTAAGAATATTCCTACTAATAGCCAGGCACAGTGGCTCACGTCTGTAATCCCAGACCTTTGCAAAGCGGAGACAAGAGGATTGCCTGAGCTCAGGGGTTTGAGACCAGCCTGGGCAATGTGACAACACCTGGACTCTACAATAAGCCAAACAATTAGCATGGTGGCGTGAGCCTGTAGTTCCAGCTAACTGGAAGGCTGAGGTGGAAGGATCATCTGGGGCCAGCAGGTCGAGGCTGTGGTTGCCGTGAGCATGCCACTGCACTCCTGCCTGGGTGACAGAGTGAGACTCCAACTCAAAAATAAAATAAGACAAGTATGTTCCTAGTAATATTTGCATGTGTGCACAAAAACATGTATATAGAGGTCTTATTGGGACCTTATTTATAATAACTAAATATCAATCCATAAATTATACCATGAAATACGAGGCAGGGGTTAAAATGAATGTACTGACAAGAAAGGCTTTCCATCATATTGTGTTAAAAACATAGAAAACCATGTAATTCTGTATGCATTGCTTACCCTATCCCTTGGTGCCTACCCCCCCTCCAGTTTGGAGTATCCTAGAACCTACTTTTCCATAGTTTATTTTAAAATTCAGGCCAAAATTCAACACAAAGAAGTCCATTCCATTCCTATCACCTTCTCCTAAGTCCTTATACCTTCAGCACCCTTGCCTTCATTATGAGGTCTTATTTGGCACTTGGTGTTACTTAATTGCTCTTCT